AATGTGTCAGCCCAGACAATTTCGAAAAGGTTAGTGAGTCAGAATCTGCAAAAGAAGCTTGGGAGATCCTTGAGAAGTCTTTTGGAGGCACTGAGAAGGTGAAAGAAGTGAGGTTACAAACTCACAAAAAGACCTATGAACTGCTTCAGATGGAAGACAGTGAAAACATATCTGATTTCTTCACTAGAGTTACAAAACTAGTAAATCAAATCAAGATATGTGGAGAAGCGTTAACAACAAGAGCTGTTGTGTCAAAGATCTTGAGATCTTTAGCTCCTAAGTTCGACCACATAGTGGTGGCGATAGAAGAGGGGAAAGCCTTATCGAAATTGACAAAGGAAGAGCTTCAAGGGACGCTTGAATCTCATGAACAAAGAATGAACGAAAGAGCTGCAGGAAAATCGAAGAGTGATGTGGCCTTGCAGGCACATTCACAAAAGAGACCAAAGGCAAAGGAAAATGTTTCGACAGAGGTAGAGGTGGCTACAACAAATCGAATGGTAGAGGAAACCAAATCGAAGGAGACATGTCGAATCAAAGAAGACCATACCAAAGCAACCAAAGAGGTGGTGTTGCAAATAGAGGAAAAGGTGGTGGTCAAAGACCTGATAAGAGTCACATTCAATGTTACAATTGTCAAAAATATTGACACTATTCGAGTGATTGTCCAGAAAAACGAAAGAATCAAGAAAGTGATGCAAAGCTTGCAAAACATGAAGAAGAAGAGATGATGCTGATGGTCACAACAAAATATGAAGATAGATTCAAGGACCAATGGTACTTGGATTCAGGATGTTCATCACATATGTATGGAAGGAAAGACTGGTTCGTCAATATAAAACCCTCAACGAAAAATATGGTAAAATTTGCAAATGACAATACCCTAGCAGCTGAAGGTATTGGTGATGTTATGATCATGAGGAACGATGGCAAGAAGTCAGTAATTTCAAATGTATTGTACATACCAGGCATGAAGAGCAATTTGCTCACTATAGGGCAGTTGGTCGAAAAGAATTATAAAGTGTCAATCGAAGATAAGTTGATGAGAGTCGTTGATGCAAATGGGAGATTAATCTTGAAGGCTCCTTGTTTCAAAATCGAACCTTCAAGATTGAACTAAATGTGATGGAGCACAAGTGCCTTTCGACTGCAGCTAGCAGAGATGAATGGATATGGCACTATAGACTAGGTCATCTCAACTTCAGAGACATCGTAGATTTGAAGAGAAGAAATATGGTTTCAGGATTGCCTGAAATTGACATTCCAAACGAAGTATGTGAAGAATGTGTGCAGGCGAAGTAACACAAGAATAGCTTCAGCAAGGATGCAGGAAGCAGATCGAAGGCTAGTCTTGAAGTCATATACTCTGATGTATGTGGATCAATCCAGGTGGATTCGATGGGAGGTAACAAATACTTTGTTACATTCATAGATGATTTCAGTCGAAAGTTATGGACTTACCTGATCAAGAAGAAAAGTGAAGTGATCGAAGTATTTACCAGGTTTAAGTCTATGGTCGAAAGACAAAGTGGTCGAAAGCTCAAAGTTTTGAGAACTGATGGTGGAGGAGAATATGTGTCGAAAGACTTCGACAGATTATGTGAAAAGGAAGGGATTATGCATGAGGTGGTGCCACCCTATACTCCACAGCAAAATGGAATTGCAGAAAGGAAAAATTGAACCATCATGAATATGGTGAGAAGTATGTTGAAAGGCAAGAGTTTACCTAAAGAGTTCTAGGGTGAAGCTGTTTCGACTGCAACATACATTTTGAACAGATGTCCTACAAAGAAGCTAGAAGGAATTACTCCAGAAGAATGTTGGTCTGGTGTGAAACCTAGCTTGAGCCATCTGAAGGTATTTGGATCTATTGCACATAGACATGTGCCAGATCAGTTGAGAAGAAAACTTGATGATAAGTCAAGTCAAATGATTCTAGTTGGATATCATTCGATAGGAGGCTACAAGTTGTTCGATCCAGAGAACAAGAAGATTGTGATCAGCAGGGACGTGATCATAGATGAGTTTAAAGAATGGGATTGGACTGCAAATGTCAAGAAAGATTCAGTGGGAATCCTATTCGAAGAGCCAGAAACTCAAGTCAAAAGAGAAGTTCGACAAGAGGAACCAACAGATATACCAAATACAAGCAGACCTCAAAGAATAAGATGCATGCCTGCAAGATTGCAAGATTATGTGATTACATCAGATGATGTAATAGATAATGAAGGTGAGCTGGTACATTATGCTTTCTATGCAGATGTCGAACCTGTTAATGCAACTGAAGCATTAAAGGATTCGAAGTGGGTGAAAGCAATGAACGAAGAAGTAAATTCTATCGAAGACAACAACACTTGGTCACTTGTCGAATTGCCTCAAGGCAAGAAGGCAATTGATGTCAAGTGGGTATACAAAGTGAAAACAAATTCGAATGGTGAAGTAACTCGACACAAATCAAGACTTGTGGCGAAAGGATTTCTACAGAAAGAAGGAATAGACTTCGACGAAGTTTTTGCACCTGTTGCTAGAATCGAAACAATCAGGTTGGTTGTTGGTCCAGCAGAAATAAACAGTTGGCACATATGTCAGATGGACGTGAAGTGTGCATTCCTAAATGGACCCTTAGATGAAGAAGTCTATGTTAAACAACCAGTTGGGTTTGTGAAACATGACGAAGAAAGAAAGGTGTAGAGGCTACATAAAGCCCTGTAGGGCTTGGAATAAGAAAATTGATAGTTTTCTAAGGGAGAAGGAATTTGTGAAGTGCACAACTGAACATGAAGTATATGTAAGAAGAAGCAAGAGTAAATTGCTTATACTATGTCTCTATGTAGATGATTTGTTGATAACAGGTAGCTGTAAAAGTGAGATCGAAGACTTCAAAGGTGATCTCAGCAAGGAATTCGAAATGTCTGATTTGGATGAGATTTTATATTTCCTTGGTATCGAATTCTACAAGAGCAGTAGAGGTTTGATGATGCATCAAAGAAGATATGCAGGAGAAATTCTCAAGAGGTTTGAGATGGAAGAATGCAACTCAACTTCGACACCTGCAGAACCAAGACTGCAACTGTCGAAAGATGCAGATGAAGATGATGTTGATCCAACCCAATACAGAAGACTTATTGGATCATTAAGATATCTTTGTCATACAAGACCTGACTTAGTATACAGTGTAAGCATGGTAAGTAGATTTATGCAGAAGCCAAAGGTATCACATCTAGCAGCAGTGAAGAGGATACTAAGGTATCTCAAAGGAATTTTCAATTATGGCATTTTGTTTCCTGCAGTTGATAAAGAAAAAGAATGCAAGTTAGTGGGATACACTGATTCGAGTTGGTGTAGTGATGCTGAAGATCGAAAGTCAACAGCAGGATATGTGTTTATGCTAGGTGGTGCACCAAATGCTTGGAATTCAAGAAAGGAACCAGTAGTGGCATTATCATCATGCGAAGCAGAATACATAGCTGCTTCTCTTTGTGCATGTCAAGCAACTTGGATGATGAGCTTGGTCGAAGAGATAACATGGAAAAATCATGGAGCAATTACCATGAAGATAGACAGCATGTCAGCTATTAATTTGGCAAAGAACCCAATAGCACATGGTCGAAGTAAGCACATCAAAATGAGATTCCATTATCTTCGAGAGCAGATAGCAGATGGGAAGATGAATTTGAAACACTGCAGAACTGAGAATCAGATTGCAGACATCATGACGAAGAGAGTGCAAGTCGAAGTATTCAGAAAGCTAAGGGCCATGATGAACATAGACAGTTTAGACACAATGAATTAGGTGGTGTGTTAAATTGTAATTCATATGTGTCAAAGAAGATTTGATTTGTTTTAGATTTAAACATATTTGATTTAAGTCTAGAATAGATTTGATTTAATTTGATTTAGTAACAAAAAGATATTTTGGGCTTTGGGCTTAAGGTGTAAGCTCAGTTATAAATAGAGGGAGTAACCCCTATTTTTCAAAGCAAGTAAAAAAGAGAGAAAAAGAAGTCAAGCAAGACAATTCATTGTAATCACAGAATTTGCAGTTGCAAGTGATTAAGAAAGTTTTCTACAGTTTGTGGGCAGAGAGAAACTCTGCAGAAATATTTATCTTATCTTCTTTTATTTGTTTTTCTCATAATTAATCATCATTGTGGTCGAAATTCATCATAATATTAAGTGGATTTTCAACAGTGACTTCGATGGTGATTTCTCTCGCTGTGACTTTGTTTCTTCATCTTGTGTTGTCATCAGATTTAAGTGATGTAGTTGCGTTTGGTACATATCTGGTAATTCTTCTTGGTCTTCTTCAACACCTTCAGGATATGATGCTTTGAGTGACGAAATCTTTGGATCTTCTCTTTTAAATGTGTGAAATGTTTCAACAAATTCTGAGGAAGAATATTGAGTTTGGTAATGATTATTAATATATGTGAAAGTTTGGTAATGATTATTAATATATGTTAAAGAAGGTGGGTTAGTTGTTCTGAAAATATTGGAAGGCGATGGTTGGTGATAGTTGTACGAAGAATAAAAAATTGGTAAAGGTTAGACGATTGTAGGGCCATAATAATAGTAATGATAGTAATCGTGTGGAGGAGAATTTATGATAATGATAGTTGTACGAAGAATAAAAAATTGGTAAAGGTTAGACGATTGTAGGGCCATAATAATAGTAATGATAGTAATCGTGTGGAGGAGAATTTATGATAATGAAATCACCATTTGTTATGAACATGTTTTTGATGTTAAGAGAAATAGAGACAAATTACACTAAAAAATGCTAACAATTCTAAATTAACTTTTCCATTCATTTTAATTGATGATAATTAAATTCTCCAAACATTTATTTATAATATTGAAACAAATTATTATCTCATTTCTAGATTCTTTTAAAAGATAATGATTAAACACTATTAATTTTAACGGGTTTATAGAATCTGAGTCTAACTCATTGGAGTTAGATAGTAATAAAAAATAAACTAGTAAAAGTTGTCTTCCTCTTATGACTTGGTACGAACAGTGCATTCCACAGGTAGACCTTGAGGAAATCGTTTAACATCATTGCAATAATTATAAATCATATAATTCTTCTGCACCCATCTTAGTTTCTTCTGGTTTGTAGAATCAAGTTGTTCAGATAACCAAGCATTATCAGAAGAATTCGATTTGCAAGACGAAACTCCATTAGACCAAACACAACCACTGGCTTTGAAGTTTCTAAAAGAAGCAATAAATGGAGCTTGATTCCAATCTGTTTTCACACGTCCACCTCTTGTTGCCCAATCATCAGCATTCCATAGACTTGAATATAATCTCATTGGTTGGTTCTTTGGAAATGGAACACCTTCACTCTCTAAGTTCTTGAATTCCCTAATCGGTCTTCCATCAATATAAAATCTGAAGGAAAAAAACATTGAAATTATTATGAGGATTTTACAATATAATCGTGATATGAGTTTTAGAAAAACTTACACTGCATGTGCAGGATTCCATAGAAAGGAATACGTATGAAAATCTGCGGTTGGATCAAACCATAGATAAAATTGTTGCTCTCTGTCACCTTTCCCTTGGGTATACACGTTGGTATGAACTACATAAGGATCACCACTTAAATTTCCTAAGAATTCAAAGTCTAGTTCATCCCAAGATAACCCTTCTGAACGTAACTGAAATGCACAGAAAAGTTTTATATCAGATACTAGTAATATGTATGCATGTTTATGAAAAATATAAAATAGTATTATTCAGGTATTGTTGTTTTAGATTAAACTCACATAATAAGCTGTGACTGTTCCAGCTGAATTTCCAGGTACAAGTTTGATTTGCATGTCAATCTTACCATAAAGATATTGATTGTTGGATTGAAAGCCAGAGCCAGAAGTTTTGTCTAGAGACAAAGTAAGAAGCTGGCCATTGTTGAGAATCTTACCTCTTCCATCTCCCCATGTGATAGCAACCTCTTGGTATAAGTTTACAGCAAAAGCTACCATAAAAATAAAAGGTGTACATATTAAAAAAGTGATTACATTATTAACAGCCATTGGACAGAATTTGTGTGTGAGACAGAAGAGAGTTCTTTTATTTTATGTGAGAAGTGATGAAACAGAAAAACCATGTGTCCCAATTTATAGTATAATCTACAAGCATATGGTTTCAGGGAATGAATGATGTTTGGTTAATAATAAAAGTTGGTTGGTGGGATGAAGTGGAATTGGAAAGGTGTACATCAATTGGTTTCATATGCATATAATGTTTAATTAATCATAATTTAAGACTTTTAATCAGTTAAGTGGTTCATTATTCATTACGTGGTGCTTTGTTAGGGTAGCTACTATTAAACCGAACTAGTGTTTGTGGTATTCATCAAAAGTGCTACAAATTGAAGTAGCTTTTAGCTTCTAGTGCCGTCTACCTACACATTTTTTTATTAGAAAGCGTGTAAAAGTACTAGAAATATGCACTATTAATTTCTGGTTTCTAAGTCATGTGATTGGAATTACATTGAAAAACTATTTTGATAACGTTAGACTACTATTTCATGTAAACCGCCTAAGATTTCACCGACTTTCATTACATAAGAGTTGTGTTATTGTTATGGATAAAGATTGGTCAAAATGCTCTGTTGAGTCACATCACCACACCACGTCTGAATTTCTGTGATGCCGCTTATCGTACAAGCAAGGAAGGAAACTAATATTTCATTGTCAAAATTCTAAACCGCCTTAATTTTACATTGCCATATGTATTCCAAATTAGGATTCTACCATGACATAGTATACTGCGTCTTCGAAGTAGAATTGTGTTAGTTATATTGATGATAATGAACTCTAATTGTCGTAATTAGGATTCTACGATGACATAGTATACTGCGTCTTCGAAGTAGAAATGTGTTAGTTATATTGATGATAATGAACTCTAATTGTCGTGGTATTCATCTTTAATATGATCGTACATCAATATGTAAGGTTAACACTAAAATTCTCAAATCAGTTATATATTTTAAGATGAGTAGAATGAAATTATAAAACTAAAAAAGTTATATTGAATTTCTTGTGTGTTGATTATATACGTTCAATAATTTTTAATAGATCTTGCATGGTTGGAATGAATATATGGGTCTAATCTATATTAAATATTTAGTCGATTAAGAACAATCACTATTATAAATAACACTTTTAATTTTGGATACGAAAAGTTTTTTACCTCAATAAAAGAAATGAGATAAATAAGATCGTCATAAAAAGTAAAGACTTATCACATTGCTATTTAAAACTCCGAAGTATAATGTTATTAACGCATGAGTTCGAATACCAATCTCGACAAATTTTATCATTTTCAAAACTATCATATCTCTTATTTCTGTTTATCAAAATAACTGAGGAGTATGATTATATATTTATTATTTTTTAAAATTGTTACATTATTTATCTAGAATATTATATTATTTACTTAGAATATTATATTATTTATCTATAATATTAAAATTAAAATTAAAATAAAATTCTTTATTATGGAACTAAATAAAAATCAAATTTTCTCAAGATGTAGAGTTTAAATAGACGGCAAAGATTTGTCTAAGATTGTTGAAAATAGCGAAATATAAGACTTAACTATCTTCTCGTTTTGGAATAAAATCGAGGAGTTAGATCAATTTTTTTATAAAAATAGTTACATTGTTTACTCAGAATATTAAAAATACATTATATGCAACAAATATTCGCAGAATATCAAGATTGTTTACCCAGAATATTAAAAATACAGGATGTTCAGGACCCATAAAAGATGCTAGAGATTTGTTTCCCCATAAAAAATTTTATTTTTCACTGATATATCCATCTTCTTAAAAGTTAAGTTCTCATCTCTGTTTAACCTTTCAAAGGGATCTGGATTGGGCCAGCGCTTGCCCCATCGTTGGAAAGACTCAATTCAACACCCTTGCATAAGGCTCAAAGGCGAGCAACTCAAGTTGAGAACCGTTGGGCAACTTCTCACGTGTTCGTTGGAGAATGTGGCTCACGTCTCCATATCATCAACATCATCCTTCCCTCCGAGAATAACGGGTCCAACTCATGCTTTATCGAGGCAATTGATCAGGGGGGAGGCCACGTGCTAGACTTCATACACACGTAAGCCCTGGAAATCTCCTTTGTTGAGCTTCATCGTGGACCAACATTGGAGACCTTGGCCTGACGCTGGGGGCTATAAATACCCTCTCACTTAAGAGGGTCAGGTATTGAATCATTCTATCTCACTCACTCTTACTTGCTTGCATCATTGAACCTTACTTTGGCATCAGAGTGTCTTGCAGGTACTCCCCATATCATCCACAACTACTGTCTAACTCGAAGCTCGTGGGCTTTGAAAATTTATTCTGCTCAGGTACAATAAGTGGTGCCGTCTGTGGGAATCCAGATTCCCCGTCTTTCATTTACCTAAGACTAAAGCAACTATCAAACTTCGTGATTGTCATGGCCGACCCAGCTGCCAACAACAACCTCAACGCCCATCTCATTGACCCCAACAACAATGTCGACGACAACATGGGTAACAACAACAACAACGAGAACAACATCGACATTGTTATTCTAGAGCAGAACTGCAGAGACGGCATGACCTCCTCTTCATCATCCCGCTCTTGGCCACACGACGATGCCCATCTGCCTCAGAACTACGAGCCGAATGTTTTCCAGGAGGTACCCATTCCCGCAGGCGTTGATGCCACGACCAGGGCTCTGTTCACGGTCATTAACCAAACAAATTACTTAATCTTCTCGCAAGGTGAGCGGTTAAGGGTGCTCGAGGATACTCTCCGAGCCCCCAGAAGACACGGGAGACCTGACACTCCACCTCCCCATCAGAACGGAGACCATCCTCAGTCTCCCTTATGGAGACATAGACGAGACAGGTCGCGAATCCGTTCTCCCCAACGAACTGGGTGAGGCCCCTCGTTGGAGAGAGCACTTCCCGAAACTACTAGGAGGCGCGACCACATCCCCCGCGCAGGGAACGACGATCCCCTAGAAACAGGAACAAGGGAAACGAAGAAACACAACCTCTGCCAAGGGATCTTCCCTAGGACAAGGCCGTCACCATGACCGAAACTATAATCGGTCCCCCTCCCTTTCTCCGTACAAAAGCGAAGAAGACGACCCCCGCGGTCCCTTATCCCAAGCGATCATGGAGGCGCCCATCCCTAGGGGAATGGAGAAACCTCCCTAACTGAAGGAATACGACAGCATTGCAAATCAAGTCGACCATATCGACGGGTTCAAGGCAATGCTCCATTATCATAACGTCGGGGGACCAATCAAATTTCGGTTGTTCCTCACAATATTAAGAAAGACTTCCATGGACTGATACAAGAACCTCGCCCCAGAGCCAATCACCTCCTGGAGAAACCTTAAGAACCAGTTCATCAGTTCTTTCACAGTGTCTCGTCGACATCAGAAGACTGAGGCCACCCTTGAGGCTATCTTCCAAAGAAGCAACGAAACTCTTAGGGAGTACATTGATCGGTTCAACCGTGAGGCATTCAGGTCCCGTGTACCGATCATGCGAATAGATACTTGCTTGAGAGAGGACTCCTCCCGGGCACCGAGTTCAGAAAGATCGTCGGCATCGAACCGCCCCAGACTTTTGATGCTCTCTTCGAAAGAGCTAGGGCTTACATGGACTATGAAGAAAGGGAAGAATCCAATAAATCCTGTAACACCCCAATTCTACCCGATAATTATTATAAAAATCAGAGTTACAAAATTCCGACAAATCGAATCAGGATGCTACAGTTTTAACTTAAAACAACGACATTCATTGCAGATACATAACATATTAAATTGGAATGAACCAACGGTAACATAATTTCAATCCTTTAACCAGCAAATTTCATAACTACGCAACGTAATCGAATATTCAACTTACAAGAAAATATCATCTTCATCCAAACGAAACAACTTCAAATAACAAGTATTTAACGAACAACAACTTAAAGTTCAATTCAACTGAAATAATCAACAATAAAACAACAAGTGTTCACCCCCCCCCCCCCTCCCGAGTGTTATGTATCAGAGCAATAACACCGGATTGAACTACTGAAGGTAAACCGCCTTCACTCTGGATTACCTGTACGTTACCAACATCGGGGTAACATTCAAACATAAGGGGTGAGATATCGAACAATATAATTGGATGTAAGATAAATATTACAATAGAATTAGTCTATGCAAAATCACCACTTTGCA